AGATAGATAGATAGATAGATAGATAGATAGATAGATAGATAGATAGATAGATAGATAGATAGATAGATAGAGATGGCTACACAAAACACAGCTTATTAAAGATCATAAAATTTAGGATTCCATGATGAAATACCTTGCTTTCAGCTAACCAGCGATGTGGGTCACAATGTATTTCAGGACCAGAGGTAAATACCTACAAAAAGAGGAAAGAATGTTAAAAATAGATTTTTCTCTAGCATGAATGACAGTCCTTAAATGCCAGGATTAGAAAAGTGGAAGATTTTATCAAATACACAATCAATTTCAAAGCAGTTATTAAGTGGCTATTCTGCATGTATTTCCTTGATGACAATAAATAGCCAAGTAAGGTACAGACACAGAAGATGATCTAGCTGCCAAGGGCTACTATCACTAGCCTCTGGAGTTGAGCCCATGGGGCTTCATTTGGAGAGCAACCTTGATTAAAGCCTGCCTGTGACTGCCTCTCAATGCTGTTCTGTGTAAGGTACTCTACAGAGGTTTAAATGTGCCTACATAGAAACTTAACTCTGTCTCGTTTATCCATCTTTATACCTTGGGGTCCATTTTGTTTTGTCAAAGACTATGAAGAATAGACAGCTCATCAAAATGAATTTATGTAAGCAATGCTTTAGATTACAAAACAGACACGAAATTTTATATTCAACTGTTGCCTATATTAGTTGCTCTGATTTCCTATATACAAACTCATTTATAAAATCACTCAACATCTGGTTTTGCCTTATTACTGAGCTGACTCTACAGTCAAGAGCTGTTAATGTTTTTACAATTGTAAACACAAATTACATTATTGTCAGTTTTTTAAACTCGGTGCTATATAAGATATATTCACAGAACTTCTCAATGTTTTATCTAAAAACATCTTTTCTTTTATAAAGAGATGTCTATTCCTAGTCTCAAATGTTTCCATATCTCAATATGTATGTGCACATTTCTCTGTCAGAATAATAGTAGCTAATTTACCTAAATGCATACTTAATGCATACCAAGTATTCACCACATTCCACATACAAAGGTGTTGTGGTATTACACTCAACCTATCTCTCAATCACTTTTTTCTCTACATTTAACCCAGTTCTCTTGCTGTTTTTGTTTTGTTTCATTTTGTCTTCTGTTTTGAAATAGGGTGTTGCAATGTAGCCCCTGGCTTCTCTGGAACTGTGGAGACCTGGCTGGCCTCTCTTCTGCGGCTCCCATGCTAGAAATAAGGGCCTGAACCACCACACAAGTTCTAACCTAAGGCTGAGCTTCTCTGCCTTTTTTTTTCTTTTTCTTAAAAAAACTTCATTTTACATTCCACCTATGGTCCTTCCTCCCAATTCCTCCTCTCCACCCATCCCCTGGCCTCCCTCCCAGCCCACCACCACCCACTCCTCCAAAAAAGTAATAATGCTTCCTATTGGGAATCAACAAAGCATGGCACATTAGATTAAGGCAAGAGGAAGCCCCTCTCACCTGCATTAAGGCTGAGCATACAATTCTTGAAGCTAAAAGTATTCTCTATCTCTCTGGGTCCCTGGACAGGTTTCTCTCTGCCCACCTGTTCCCAAATAGCCACTCTGAGGCTAAATATCAGTTACAATTGTTCGCTGAATATCTTAGGCTTCTTACTCACTAGCTCTATCTATAAATTAACCCATTTCCATTAGTTCATATTTTACCATGAGGCTTGTGGCTTATTACCTCCCACCTTCTTTCCCCAGCAGTTACACGGTGTCTCCCTGACTCCACCTTCTCTCTAAATATCTTTGAACTTTTCACCTGTCCATTGGTCAAAACAGCTTTATTCATTAACCAATAAAAGCAACGCATATACAAAAGAACTTCCCACATCACAAACCACCATAATAAATGGGCTTCAAAGAGCTAGCTCACACCAGGGCAAGATTCTGGTTCCACTATCAGGGGCCCAGCAGACAGACTACGCGACACTACTGTCTTCCACATGCAGAGGGTCTAGTCTAGTGGTCTCATGGAGGCTCCTCAGCTGTTGGTCTAGAGTTCATGAGTTCCCACAAGCATGGTTCAGCTGTCTCTATAGATTTCTTTTCAATCAGGCTTTCCCTAATTGCCCAAATTCTCTATTTCTTCTTCCTCTTTCAACAATGCACTATGTTGCTAAACATCTGTGAGCATCCATTTGTCACAATTAGACTTCCCTTTTCACTAACAGACTCCATTAAATCTTTACTGCCTCAAATAAATCTTCACTTGGAGCAATAATAAATACTTATTTTGATGTAGGAAATAGAAACAATGCTCGTGTTTCATGATTTGCTCCACAGGTTTACAAATGATCTCATGCTTTAAAGAACATCTTTAAGCAGTTAAATGTGGCAGAACTACAGGCTATCAGGGCCATTGGAACAAGATACTATATATGGCCAAAGTAGAAATCAAATTCACAAGTGTTTCTACACTGCCAGGCACACAAAGCCCACTCAGTAGACAACGAAGACTGCCCATCAAGATGGCATCAAAGTAAACTCAAAGAACTGTGACAAGAACAGTGTAGCAGAGCCATGTTGTGGGAAAAAAGACAAAAAGAAAACATGTATGTAGATCTAAACACAACAAAAGACAGAGTTACTTTCAGGGTGTATTAAAAGGACAGTTTGTTTCCTATAAAGCAGTGGTTCTCAACCTTCCTCCCGCTGCAACCCTTCAATACAGTTTCTCATGTTGTGGTGACCCCCAACCATACGATTATTTTTTTTTTTTTGCTACTTCATGAGTGTAATTTCACTACTGTTATAAATTGTAATGTAAATATCTGTGTTTTCTAGTGGTCTTAGGTGAACCTTATGAAAGGGTTGACTCCAAACGGGTCATGACCCACAAGTTGAGAATCACTACCATAAAGAAACAATATTTACTAATATTCTTGTCCATGAAACTCGGGTGTTTTCTAACAGCTGCATGGAAGAAGGCTTATTATGCTTCTTATAACATGACTCATGTGCTTTGATTTTAATGCTTACACATGACTGAAAACTACATGAAATGAAATACTTAAACATGGAGTAAATGCAACATTGCTAATATATGTTCCTCTGCATTAAGTTAAGGTTTACAAGTCACATACTCAGAAAAGCCTTGAAGAAAACAGCATTAGATGGGGAAAGGATAAGGTGGCATAAAAACCCAGGGCCTCCCCAGAGTCAGTTTCACACTTACACGCAAACACTGCTCACCTTAGTCTCATAACTTTCCCATAGCGACACTTGAATACTGTCTCAAAAGAACATAAAGGGAACTGCCGATTGTGCAATATCTACCAACTCTATTAATTCCACCAATTGAAATATTTATATGAAAATTGGAGCCTTAGAAGCCTTTAACTGAAACAGTAGATTATATTTTTATTTTCTTCAAACATCACTTAGAGAAAAAGAAAGATAGGGGAAAAAAAATCAGGAAAAAGGGAAGAGACCTCAGAAGGCCTCTCTCTGGTAGAGGAAGAAAAAAGAACCTAGCTGCAAGAGAAAACCACCTAAGCACAAAACGGCATTTCAGTGTGGCCATGCCATAAAATGAAATAAACACAACTGAAATTGAGGCAGAAGCCTGACTGGTATGGCGATGCCAGAGCAACACTTCTAAAGTGTCAGCCTTCAGGGAATTCAAATACCCATGGGACACACATTTTATACATCATCTCCTGACCACCATTAATTAGGAAGTGATAAACCCATCTGAATATGGGGAAGCACACAGATTAGAATTTGAACAATAGGGAAAGTCAACAGCAAAGTGTTTGCTTGGTGTGGACCCCGTCAGTCTACAAAGTGTCTGCTTGATCTGGACCCCGTCAGTCTACAAAGTTTCAAGTCCTTGAGATTTTATCACACTGAATGTAGGAGCAAGTACCCAGCCCCTCCACGTCTGCTTCACTTTTCTACACTATATTTTATGGAGTACTGGAGAGATGGGTTGACGTTAAGGGCTAAGGGAGACACAGCCTATATCATACTTATCATTGAACCTCTCAAGAAGAATTAAATAGATGGTAGCAACATTACTAAGAGGCTACCATGGTGGAAAATTCAGAAACCAAGCTTCTTGGCTCAAAGAATGTTTTCCTTCATCAATATTGCTGTCTCTTTGTTGACGGGTTCTCTTGCACTGAGTGAGACATGGGTAACTCAGTGGAACAACATCACACTTTCACCAGAACTGGGTAGTTATAAATAGTTTCCAACTCCTAAGCAATTCAAGAAGTTATTTTGTTTCATAAAACTTTCTGAAATAAAAGTGTGACTCCCATGGAATCACAGGTTACAATCCCATTATAATTATAAGTTTGAAAACTAACAGAAAATTTAAGGCACATTGAGAACTCATAATTACTTTCAATTTCTCCAATGAATCTTTGGAGAACGTTTTACAAGCTGCATCAATTTCCTTTCCTATTACACCAAGAATGGATTCCTGTTCCGTCTCCAAACAAAGAAGTTGATCCTTCAGCTGGAGCCGGGCCTCTTCCATCCTCCTTAAGTGCTCCTCTTCATTACTTATATGTTTCTCCTGTGGCATGAGAAATAAAAGAGACCCTTGTTAAGTAGAGCCAAGACACAGGTATCTATGCAACCAAACCTAAGAACGGGATTAGAACAGATACGACCAGTCATCCCTTCACTTAGAACAATAGATATCCCATGAGCACTCAAGTATAAACAACTGGCAAAAATTCTAGGAACAAAAGAAATAATGTTGAAAATGTCCTTTGTGATTTGTTAATAGTGCTGTCAGTGGGTCAGAAGAAAAGCTAAAATCATAAATTGATCTGGGGTGAACCCTAAACATTAATTAGTAAAACACCGAAATATAAATTACCAAATACGGTGCTTGCTTTCAATGTGTTACCACCTAAACTCCATCACAACACGCTCCTCCTACAAAGTTCTCATCTTTTCGATGCCATCATACAACACGCATGCTTTTGAAACATGAAAATTTAATAAAAACCAAGATGGGAACACATTCCAAGTAAACAAATACATTTAATGAAGGGAGGCTTGTCAGGAATCCTTGAAGAGATTACAAGTGCTTTGGGGTCTCCTCTAGGCAGAACAATTTGCGATCATTACTACTTATTATACAACTCTCAATAGTTGTAATTAAACAATTTCATTAAAAACAAGCACCCTTGATAGGAAAATCTCAAAATCCCGAATGCCACCTAAGTCCACAGCTTTAGAAACAGTGACACAATACTGAGAATGCTTCACTCTGGGTTGTGAATTAGGAATGCTTAACTGGGAAAGTCATCAAAAACAGTGGAAACCCTCAAAAGCTCTAGAACATGAGCTGCTCCTGACCTCAAGCGTGCTGAACACATGTGCTAGAAACTCAAAGCCATATAACACAGGCCGTGTAAGATAATGAAATAACTAGAACTGAAGAAATAACAGACCATACTCATGGTGTTAGTATGTTTAGTCATTACACATTAGCCTAGTAATCTTCAGCAATTAATAAACACAAGTAAATCAGAAAAAGTATGCGGGTAAAAAGCCCTCTATTTTTAAAAAAAAGAAAAGAAAAGAAAAGAACACTGGTGTTAAAAATTAATGATTGGAAGTGGAAAGATGGATCAGCAGGTAAGAACACTGCCTGCTCCCAGTGGACCTCAGTTCAATTCCCAGCATGTACATGACAACATACAACTGTCTAATTATGTTCCAAGGAATCGGATGCCCTCTTCTGGCCTCTGTGGCCCCAGGCACACAAATGGTGCCAGATAGACTTTCAGGTGAAACACTCAAATATATAAGATAAAAATAAATAAATCTCTTTTTCTTTCTCAAAGAATAAATCAGGATTACACTCTCCCCTCCCTCTGCTACTCCCACTTCCTCCCCATCTTCCCTTCCCTCCCGATCCACTCCCCTGCTGTCTCTGATTAGAAAAGAACAGGCTTCTAAGTGATAACCAAACACAACAAAATAAAGTATAATAAGATGAAGCAAAAACTATTATATTGAATTTGGACATAGCAACTCAACAGAAGGAAAAGAGTTGACAATCTTGAACAATCCTCATAACAAATAAAAACTCAACCAAATGTGGTGGCACACTGTAGTCATTACAGACACTGAGGAGGCTGAGGCAGATGTGCAAGTTAACATCTGTCTTGACTATGAAGTGAGACTTTGTCCCAAACTAAAATTGTAGGAAAGAAAAGCAATCAGAGATATAACATGGTGCAAAAGGCCTTGAGTTCAATTCAAAGTATTGTAAATAAACTTCTAAATTAAAAGGCTGGGGGGAGGGGGGAGGTATAGATGATGCCATATTCAAAACAGTCCACACAAAAGCAAAAGCACATCAGGCATGTGTACTCTCCAAAACGTTCAAGGATTATCCACTTACACAGGAAATGTACTTACAAACCCACAGAAGTCACCTGACTAACTTAACCTTTAAGAATGTGCTAATCAGACGGAAATTTACCGGTAGGCCACAGCCATGTGGCAATACACAGACTAATAGAAATAATAATAATAATAATAATAATAATAATAATAATAATAATGATAATAATAATAGAAATGATATAAGATATAAGAGTTAGTTAATAAGAAGCCTGAGCTAATAGGCCAAGTAGTATTTTTTTTTAACTTTTACTTTTTATTTTATTTTATTGAGGTGTATATTTGTCTCTGCTACACTCCCTTCTTCTCTCCTCCCATTCAACCCTCTCCCATGGTCGCCATGCTCCCAATTTACTCAGGAGATCTTGTCTTTTTCTACTTCCCATGTAGATTAGATCCATGTATGTCTCTGTTAGGGTTCTCATTGTTGTCTAGATTCTTTGGGATTCTGATTTGTGGGCTGGTTTTCTTTGCTTTATCTTTGAAAACCATTTATGAGTGAGTACATATGATAATTGTCTTTCTGAGTCTGTGTAACATCACTCAATATGATGTTTTCTAGCTCCATCAATTTGACTGCAAATTTCAAGATCTTGTTTTTTTTTTTTTTTTTTTTGCTGTGCAGTACTCCACTGTGTAAATGTACCACATTTTCCTTATTCATTCTGTGGTGCAGGAGCATTGAGGTTGTTTCAGGGTTCTGGCTATGACAAACAATGCTGCTATGAACATAGTTGAGCACATGTCCTTGTGACATGATTGAGCATCCTTTGGATATATACTAAAAAGTGGTATTACTGGGTCTTGAGGAAGGTTGTTTTCTAATTTTCTGAGAAATCGCAATACTGGTATTCAAAGGGGCTGTATCAGCTTGCACTCCCACCAGCACTGCAGGAGTGCTCCCTTTACCCCACAACCTCTTCAGCATAAGCTGTCATCCGTGTTTTTGATCTTGGCCAGTCTTACAGGTAAAAGATGGAATCTCAGAGTTGTTTTGATTTGTATTTCTCTGATGACTAAAGAAGTTGAGCATTTCCTTAAGTGTATTTCAGTCATTTTAGAGACCTCTGTTGAGAGTTATCTGTTTAAGTCTGTATTCCATTTTTTATTGGATTATTTGTTCTTTTGATGAACAATTTCTTCAGTTCTTTGTATATTTTGGAGATCAGACCTCTGTCTGATGTGGGGTTGGTGAAGATCTTTTTTCATTCTGTGAGCTGTCATTTTGTCTTGTTGACCGTGCCCTTTGCTTTACAGAAGCTTTTCAGTTTCAGGAGGTCCCATTTATTAATTGTTTCTCTCAGTATCTGTGCTACTGGGGTTATGTTTAGGAAGTGGTCTCCTGTGCCAATGAGTTCAAGTGTACTTCCTGCTTTCTCTTCTATGAGGTTCAGTGTGGCTGGCTTTATGTTGAGGTCTTTGATCCATTTGGAATTGAGTTTTGTGCATGGTGATAGACATGGATCTATTTTCATTCTTCTACGTGTTGATATCCAGTTATGCCAGCATCATTTGTTAAATATGCTTTCTTTTTTCCATTTGATTTTTTTTTTTTGCTTCTTTGTCAAATACCAGGTTTTCAAAGGTGTGTGGATTGATATCTGGGTTTTCTGTTCAGTTCCATTGGTCCTCCTGTCTCTTCTAATGCCAATACCAGGCTCTGTTCAGTACTGTAGCTCTGTAGTTGAGTTTGAAGTCAGGGATTGTAATGCCTCCAGAAGTTCTTTCAATGCACAGGATTGTTTTGGCTATTCTGGGTTTTTTTTTTCTTTTCCATATGAAGTTGAGTTCCATTCTTTCGAGGTCTGTAAAGAATTTTGCTGAGATTTTGATAGGCATTGTATTGAATCTGTAGATTGCTTTTGGTAAGATTGCCATTTTTACTATGTTAAGTCTACCCACCCAAGAACATGGAAGATCTTTCTACTTTCTGGTGTCTTCTTCAATTTCTTTATTCAAAGATTTAAAGTTCTTGTCATACAGGTCTTCCACTTGCTTAGTTAGAGTTACTCTGAGATATTTTATCCTATTTGTGGCTATTGTGAAGGGGGATGTTTCTCTGATTTCTTTCTCAGCCCATTTATCATCTGTGTAAAGGAGGGCTACTGATTTTTTTTTAGTTAATCTTGCATCCTGCAACATTACTGAAAGTGTTTGAGTTGTAGAAGTTCCTTGGTAGAATTTTTGGGGTCGCTTATGTAAACTATCACATCATCAGCAAACAGTGAGAGCTTGCCTTCTTCTTTTCCAATAGGTTTCCCCTTGATCTCCTTTTGTTGTCTTATTGCTCTAGCTAGGACCTCAAGAACTATACCGAATAGACATGGAGAGAGTGGACAACCTTGTCTTCTTCCTGATTTCAGTGGGATCACTGCGAGATTTTTATACTAGTGACATGGATGTCTAAAAGAAACACTAAACTCCTTACAAGTTCAAATACTCTCTCTCTCTTTCTCTCTCTCTCTCTCTCTCTCTCTCTCTCTCTCTCTCTCTCTCACACACACACACACACACACACACACACACACACACACACACCTCAACCCATTAATTTATAATTCCATGATGATCAAGGCATAATGCTACAATTGTAGATAGATATTTGAACATATTCTTTATGCTGCACAACATTTTCTCCATGGTTCTAAGACTGTAAGGAAACATAACTTTAATAGTAATGTGACAGCTTCAGAAATAAAGAACAAAACCAAAATGATCTCTTGACAGGCTCTGTGACACACAGAAGTAACCTCAAGGCACTGAAGGGTGAGGCGAGAAGACTGAATTGAATTCCTTTCTTGTCTGCACTGCAATTCAAAGCCAGCATAGGCAAATTAGACAGACTGTCTCAAAATATAAAAGCAAGAAATATTTGAAAAGAACAATAACAAACTAGGCGTGGTAATGTACACCTTCAATGAGCACTCCCTAAACAGAAGCACGCAGTTTCTGTGAGTGTGAAGCCAGCCTGGTCTATATAGTGAGTTCCAGGACAGCCTGGGCTACATAGTGAGACCCAGACAAGATAGAAAGAAAGAAAGAGAGAAAGAAAGAGAGAGAGAGAGAGAGAGAGACAGACAGACAGACAGACATAGACAGACAGACACAGACAGACAGACAGACGGAGGGCAGGCTAAAAATGACATTTTG